TGATCGAGCTTTGTTTACTCACTGCCCCTCCGCAGCCCACGTCACTCAGCCACGTGCGGACACAGGTTCAGGCCATGAGGTCAAGCTCACAGCCACAGCCTTGGGCTATAACTGTGCTGAGACCTGCACGTGGCTTTGCCACGAGAGGACCGTGCCCTCTCAGGCCCAGGCTTGCACCTGTCCGAACGCTGTGGCCGCTCTCCGCACCCCTCACCAGAGCAGCCGCTGAGCCTCCGTAGATCCCTGGAACACAGCACGGAACACGTCCCAGGCCGTGCCGGGAGAGCTGCCGCCGCCTCGGGGCTGTGGGGAGAGGTGAGCCGGTTCCCTGTTCAAAAGGAAGGTCGGCCTCGCAAACAGCTGCATGCCCGGGACGCGCCTTCCCCACAGCGAGCGCCCTCCCTGTGGCTGCACGTGGCAGCGAAGGGCCGAGGAGAATCGAGAGCGTTCAGACTCCGGGGCGTGCGGGCTCGGTGTGGGGACAGGCAGACGGGCGGGGGGACAGACCCCAGGCTCGCTCTGCGCAGAAATCGACGCCAGGCAGCTGGTGGGTGGCCGAGCCCTTCCCTCCGCCTGCACCGGGGCCGGGCCGGGCTGTCCCCCGGAACCTGATCTAGTGTGACCGGGGTCCTCTTGAGAAGAGGGACCCGGACACAGGCACCCACAGAAGGACCCTGTGGGGACCCGGGAGGAGACGGCGCCCACACGCCGGAGAGAGGCTCCGCTCCAGCCCCCAGGACGGGCAGTGCGTGTCCAGGGTTCCAGCCGCCCGGCTCAGGCCATGAGGACGCTCGCGAACGACCGTCTTGAAGGGCCGGCCCCCACCTTCACTTCACAGATGGCGAAACGGGCTGGGCCCGCAGCACCCACCACGTGGCGCGTCTGCCGAAGACGCTGTGCCCGGCCGGGCGGGGGGTGGGCCACGGGGACCTGGCCAGGCGCTGCCCCTCAAAGCACCCACTTTGTTCCGCCCGGAGCACCCCTGAGCCCTGGATTCCCGCTCCCCCAGCCCGGGAAGCCCGCCCCCCTCAGACAGCCCCGCTTGCTTCACGGTCTTGTCCCACCGCGTGGCCCAGAGGCGGCTGGCGGCCCCCACAGCCGGCGCCCCTCCTGCATTATCGGCGATCGTTTGGGCACTTTCACCCCCAATCTCCTCACACGGCAGCAGCTTATTTAACAAGGCCCAGAGCGCTCGCGGCCGGCAGGGGAGGGGCCCCTCAGTGGCCGGGGACCAGTGGTGTCCTCTCATCTCAGCGTCCTTGGGCCTGCACCCAGCCCAGTGCCCCCAGGTCTGCACCCACAGGTCTGTACCCCCAGCTCAGCACCCCCAGCTCAGCGCCCCCAGGTCTGCACCCCCAGCCCAGCACCCCCAGGCCTGTACCCCCAGCCCAGCACCCTCGGCTTGTGCCGGCCCCCAAGACCTCCCTGAGAAGGACGTTGGGCAGAGGTCTGGGGGTGTGGCCTGTCCCAGGCACCAGGGCCCCCGGGGCCTCCTATCTGTGAATCCAGGGCTCAGATAAGACCAGACCCAGAGCAGCCGCACGGGGCCAAACTGCAGGCACCGCAGAGCCTCCGGCCGTTGGCAGGAGACGGCAACGCCCCGGCCCCGGAAGTGCACCCACCTCCTGTCCCTCCCGTGGCAGCAGCTGCCAGGGCCCACTGACCTCTGGATAAGCTTCGGTGGGGAGCCCAGTGCCGTCCCCCGTCCAGCCTGTGGCCCTGCCGGTTGGGGGCGGGGTCTGCCATCACTTCCCAGGGGGCCCGTCAGTGCCCACTGCCACTCGGAGAGCCACGCTGCCCGCACCGATGGGGGGAGACGGGCCGAGGGCTCTGAGCGCAGCCAGGTGGACGGAGGTACCTCCCCCCGGCTCTCCCTCCCACAGCCCCAAGTCTGGACTCCCCACCGGGCCCCCGTGGACCCGCCCCGTGGCTTGGGCAATGGCAAACTCTCCCGCACACCCTTCGGGACCGTCCGGCTCCTCAGTCCTCCTAGACCTGTCGTCATCGCAGTCTCTTCGCGGCTGGAGGAGCGGACAGTTTCACGTCCTCACGCTGAGTGACAATTGGCTGCAGCCGGGTCTTCCTTTCAACACTTTAAAGCTCTCACCAGCCCTGGCCGGTGTGGCTCAGTGGATGGAGCGTCAGCCTGCGGA